ATTCCAGTGCTGGTTTTGAGAGAGTAGATCCGTCATCGACCACCTCGTACTTATTGAGGCATAGATCCGAGATGCTTTTGTCCACAAACAGTACTTTCTGTGTTACTCAATATCGAAAAGACTTACGACACTACATGGCACATTGGAATATTAAGAGACCTTTCCCACTTTGGTGTGGGTGGTAGAATGTTTACTATAATCAAAAGTTACTTGTACCATCGGACATTTCATGTCCAAATGGGCACTGTTTTATCCTGAACATTTGTCCAGGAGACGGGGGCCACAGAGTGGTGTACTAAGTTGCTCTTTTTATTATCAAAATGAATTCGTGGCGCCTGTCTATCTCCCGGAGTATGTTTTACTGCACATATGTCGATGGTGTCTAGCTTGGCTTTGTCTTGTAACCTGGTAATGTGTTAGCGAAAGGTTCACTTTGGTTTGGACAAAGTCTCCAATGGGGCAGAAGAACACATTTCTGACTGAACCCACAGAAAGGCACGTGTATCTTGTTCGTCAGGAAGAGAGGCATTCATTTCCAACCTGACATTCAGCTGCATGGGCAATGTCGATAAATGTAGAACATAATTTCTTAGGCCTGATCTTGGACACCAAGCTAACCTTCGTACCACACATCAAGTATTTAAAAAACAGTTGCATAAAAGCCGTGAATGTCCTAAAAGTGCTGTCATGCACTACGTGGGGTAGTGACAAGAAGTGTTTGATGAACATGTGTACGCACTTGCCTAGACTATGGGGCAATAACATATCAGTCTGCAACATCAAGCACCTGAAATATACTTGGCCCTTTTCACCATCTAGGCAATCGACTATCTATGTGTTCTTCTTGCTCTAGCCCAGTAGAAAGCCTATATATTAAATTTAATGAGTGGTCGCTCCACTGACAGAGTTGTTACATGTTTTGTCTACATTATCTCGAAGTGAAGGCAGACAAGAAACAGCCTTCACATTTTACAATCAATTTTATGCCCAGTTTGGCTCTGTTTCGAAACCGGCTTTCATTGAGATAACCCTACTCACTTTGTGTAAGAGGATCAGCTGAGGAAATCGGTGTGTCACTTGAACACTGTTTATTCTCCGTTTATTCTTATCTTTAGTACTGTTTTATAGGCATGTGAATAAAAATTACAATATTTGCTGGTGGGCTGACTAATTCCGGTATTTCACTTTCGGCTGCTTGAGCGCTGTACTTGCAGGCGGTGGGCGACAGGTTCTAAATCTGAAAAACTGAGTTACCACGCAATATCGACCACACGACACGTCCTAGAAATAGCATGTATGGTGACTTGTAACGTCACTATTGTGTGCAATTCTGCGCATAGATGGTTCAGCTTTTACACTCTGCAAAACGTTCCTGTGAAAAGGGTGTCCCACTACAATAATCATCATTTGGCTTGCTTGTGCTTTCTTTCTTGTAAACTGGACGCTGACCAAATTCCTATTAAGAAAGGTATGTCACACTGATAACGTGCATGTGGTTCGTGACTTGAAAGTGCCGGGTGTGCGGCAATAATGCGAGGAAAGGAACGAAAAATAGATATTGTTGTTGGGAGACAAAAAGACTCAATTTTTTCTTTGAATGTAGTGCTTGCATACATGAGCCCTTGCGTTCTTTTGTATTCTTCACTAGTGCAGCGGTGAGTAGAAAGGAGGCTCGTTATAGTACCTCCGCCTCAGCCGCGTTCGTCGCTTCACGCATTTGCTTGTGGGTTTGGGACGTTTGGGATGGTGGTTTTTGGACGTCAAACCCCACATATCAATCACTTCTTCTCGGTGCAGCGTAGTAACACACCGTGAGTTTTATACATCTGTGGGTAAGTTCACCAAAAAATTTGAGTGACAATGCGCAAGGAGTGCTTAGCACCTCTCACAAGTACCCCTAGTAAAGCCGCACCCGAATCACACTAACGTGCGCTCACTGTGAGGAGGTATTTTCAAGGAGACTGTTTGTCATCCCTTGCAGGGCCTTCTTTCTATGTTAAAAGCAATTGAGAAATCTGTCTAGAAGCATTTGACGAAAACCCCATAGTTGGTGACCTCTTTGGATTGTGCTTGAAACATTGGACTGGTTGCCTCTGCATCTTTTTAGTTATATCGCTCACGGTAAGATCGTGATAACTAAAGTATAGTGATGTTTTACATTGGGCTGAGAATGTCCCTTTTTTTTTTTTGCGAGAAAATCAATCAAGAGGTTCCTGGAAAGGTGCAAAATGCTAGAAAGAAGCGGAAATTGCTGCAACATTTTGCACTTTTCTCTCGATTTATATCAGTCATGAAGACTTGCCTGGTAGACAGTGTAAAGCATGTGTACTGTTTTTTGAAGAACGTCTTTTTGTAACAAGTTGAGCATTTTTTGTATTCCAGTAAGTGAACTTGTTTAAGGCAATTACAGATGTTTTGGGTAATTTTTCGTCGAGGCAAGATGGTTTTGGTTAAAATGGTATAGTGGTCGTCATAAAGCTACGGTAGAAATCCTTATTCACCTGAAACCTCCAGTACTTCGAGGTTAAACACAACGCAGACAGCTCAAATGTAGGCAGGACATCGATTTTAGCCAACTTGCAACGAGCAACACATTGTGACTTTGTGTGTATTCACAAAAGCAGTCCACAAATGCCACGTGAGAATGTCTACTGGAAGCACCATGAATGGTAAAGTTTGATATCACTACAATAGGAAACCCGGCGTGAGGAACAGCACAGCCAACCGCCGTGTATGCTGCTGTAGCAGACGATGCGCAGAGATTAGCGCAATATCAGACTACAGCGCCGCTAGCTCTCGCGACCACCGTTCCGCCCACCCTCCTCTGCTGGCGGAGATACGGAGCTTTGAAACTGAGTTCATTCTAGTAACGTTTCCCAGCACTGCTCCTAAGGCTGTGTGCTTTGTTCCACCCCTGATTGTACAAAATAAGATATCATAGCTCTTTCCATGATATGAAAAAAGAATACAAAAGACTCATGAGTACAATTTTAAATCATAGTGGCACAGTTCGCATAGCTCTTTTCATTATATGAAAAAAGAATACAAAAGGCTCATGAGTACAGTTTTATATCATAGTGTCACAGTTAACAAAGTACGGGGGCTTTATTGCAACAAATAGAAGGACGCTGTTCTCTCAGAGATAATAAAGGTAAACTTGGCCAAACAAACTGCTTCTTATCTGTTTCTTTAGTGATGCGCCTCTCGTGCCGATCAGTCGTAGTCTTAACCAATGCCAGCGCTTAGCTGGGCACAAATGGGGATGTGGCATTACCCTCACCTCTGAGAGAGCAACGTCTCGGTGCTCACTTAGTAGCAGTCGATGCGCAATTAGCCGGTCGAAATCCACATCAGTCCGAAAGATGCAGGTTCATGTGCACCACGAGCACATTCTCAGGCAGACGCTGATGGCGTCTTGAGCAAAATGAACCATCAGCAACGGCCTCGTAGGTGACGTCGCTGAGACTGCACAGTACTTTATACGGTCTAAAGTATCGGCGTAGAAGTTCCGCCGACAGACCTCGCCGCCGCCCTGGTGACCAAACCCAGACTCTTTCCCCTGGTGTGCGATACCTCAGCTTCTAGGTGCTTGAGTATTCTACCTGTAACAAATTTTTCAACATCATCTTTGTACCTTGTAAACACCAAATTTTTGTGAATCTAGAATGTCATAAAGATCGTTATTGCAGGTTATAAATTGTATCATTGAGTGTCACACAGATCAATAATATGAGATAAATAGTTGAGGGTGTTGGGTTTAACGCTGGGGTACACCATTTTTTTTACTTTCCATTGAGGAAAACAATGTTACAAACCTTTACATCTTGTCTTATTTTAGTGAGATAACTATTAATGAGTTAAGTTACTAACGCTTTAATGAAGGAAGACAGGATGGGGGAAGAAGGTGTGTTCACGAATATAGGAAACCAGCAAAATTAGTTTTCTTTATTTTAGTAGCTTCCAGACAAATCTATTGTTCCTATATTGTTGCGGCCTCTTTAGGTACTGCTCACAAGCCCCCTCTTGCTAGAGAGTGTTCACATAAAAGTTGTCGCACTTCACGCGGAAGTTAGCAAAAGTGGCACATGACAGTTACTGATAACCACTGCAACATGCTTCGTTCGTGCAATATGTGCAAGCTTTGCATTCTGTAGCATGAGGTAGCTTTGTTGGGCGTGGGTACATAAAAATTTGTTACTGAATGGTTCGCCACAAATTGAGGATGCATAAACGGACCTGATAGGGACGGCGTGAAACTTGGGACACTGTATGAAAAGTCGGGACAGCCCTGCAAAATCTGGGATGGTTGGCAACCCTAGCCATGCCCCTTACACTGTAGTCATGCAACTTGGTTACTAGAATGTCCTACTTTACTATATCAAAGGCCTTCTTGAAATCTTTGAAAAGACCTATGGTCTTTTCTATGATCTTCAGTATCTCTTCCCAAGGTGTGTAATAGTGCTGATTCCGTAGACCTACTCTGTAGTTCACTTCCTAATAAACTAGACTGCACAAGACGATGCCATTCTTTACCCTCTCCCCATCTCTAGGGGAGAAATAGGCCTTGTTGGTGAGACATAAGGCCACATTTAGCGCTAATTCTTTTGTGTCACGTTGTGCTAAATATTGCCAAATGATTTTCTCGGTGCCCTGATTTCCCTTGCTACCCTATATTGTGCATAGCAAGGAGCTGCCTGGCACACACCCTTATCTTCAGGACTGCTCACCTGTACATCATTCCTTTTCACCCTCTCTATATACTATGCTATGAAACATTCTAAAATGTTGGCTGGGATTATCTGAAGGTTCAACAGCTTGGCTGTTGAAAATAGTGGCAATACGTAGGGCGGATACTCGGGGAAGGGGACAGTGGGATTTGGGGGACTGATGAAATGCAGGTATACCACAAAATCAATTGTGGTGCCCCCTCAAATCAAAGCTGGAACTGGACGCGGCGCGAGACACTGCAGTAGAACCAACTCTTGCATACTTGTGTGCAGGCTATGGGTTCTCATCTGAGCTCGGAGGTGATGGGAGCCTTTCGACAATCTCAGGTGTTTGGCGAGATTACCACAATTACTTTTGAGCGCCTCATGGCCAAAGTGAAGGAGCTGAATGACATGTGAGTCAACCTTTCTGTACTTATTGACCCATAAAGAATAACACATCCACTTCAGAAAGCATACAGCTAAAAATAAAGGGTACAACGAGCAGTACAGTGGATATTGCAGGAGAATTTTGGTGCACATGCTAATGAATTGTTGAGTTATCCTATATTGAGTTTGATGAGGCCATGGGATTGAATGTTCATGTTTAGGCAATAGCCATTAAGGCTTTAAGAGCTCTAGGATTTATTAAACGAAATTTGCACTCTGCTAACCAATCCACCAAACTTCTCGCGCACACAACATTAGTTCGCTCGAAAATGGAATACGCCGCCCTTATTTGGAATCCAAACCAGCAATACCTCATTCATAAACTCGAGGCCATCCCAAACAAAGCAGCCCGCTTTATCACAGGAAAATATTCCCGGCTATATAGCATAACAGATTTTAAAACGTCGTTGAAATTACCTACTCTAGAAAAACGTAGGCTTATTGGATCACTGCTGTCTGATTTCCACAAACTTTATTTCAGTGAGTCATCTATCTTACATCCACAGATTAAACCAGCTCATCGCATTTTTTCGCGTGTGGATCATGCTTACAAAATACAACCCATGTTTGCACGTACTAACTTCTTTCTTGACTCATCATTGTTTCTTGCGATATATCATTGGAATAAACTACCAAGTGATGCTATAACTGTGCGTGATCACGACACCTTTGTTAGCAGATTAATGGAGATGTGGAATGTGGAATTGTAACATTTTGTGGCTTTCTTTCGTTTAGTCTAGTGCCAATATTACATTAGTCTAGTGCCAATATTACATCAGTTATCGCACACCTCGTTTTATGCCATAATGAGTGCTACATCGCATCACTATGTCTTCTTTGGTGTGAAATTTGTTTCTGCATTTACCTTTTTAATATTTTTTTTCGTGTTCTGTGTAAATATTTCTGTTTTGCACATAACCCTGCTGTATTGTAACTATCCCCCCTATGTATTGCCCAAATGTTGTATATGAATAAATAAATAAATAAATAAATAAACAAACAAACATGCCATTTCTTGAAGTACAAGGTGTCTTCCAATGAAAAGGTAGGAAAGGTTGTAACAATGCAACCCTTGACGTAGATGCCTATGCTGCTATGGGAGAACGTAGGAGGGCAACTAGGGATGCTATTTGATACCCCGTCGTAGGTCAGAGCATCTACCAGATTGAAAAGGGGCTCTTATAAAGAGTGCCATTCAATTGACGAAGCAGTGCATGTGAGAACAGGATGGAATTCACGTTGCAAAATTAGACGATTGAGGACCAGTGAGGTGTTATTCGATAGCTGACAGCAGAAAATGTTCAACCGGCCACCATTCATCGCCGGGTGGTGACTGTATACAGAAAGGACTGTGTGTCATCATCATCATAGTTTGTTCACCCTTAAAGACCTTATTCAGAGTAATACATTATCCCAACAAAAGCATTAATAACAACATGGCCTAGTTAAGAAAAGGAACGAGGACATCAGTATAGTGATCATTAAACAAAGAAACGAAAATATTAAAAGTTTGAAAAATACAGAATACATGTTGGAATTCAAAAAGTTAAACATTAAGACAGTGAAAAAGATAGGAAAAATGCTATAAATGCTGTCGCAAATACTGACTGAAATAACAGAGCACATTGGCAAATTAAGAGTTAAAAATACATGAAACTATGGGCCTAAATTTATTGCAGTCTTGTGCACTAATTGAGTCTTGAGGTAGCGCATTCCGTAGCCCAATAGCAATCGGCAAGAAGGATTTGTTGAATGCTTTAGTTGTACCACAGACTGTGTGAAGTGCGGTTCAGTGGATGCAAAGTGGTGTTTCTGAGGTTAGTGAATTTTAATACAGTTTGTGGAAGAGGGAAAGTTGTAAAACCTTACTGTGAAGTGTTAAACTAGATATGCTTAGAGATGATTTGATGTAAGTGATACTTGAGGGCCAGTCATGGTTTGAAGTAACAAAATGTGCTGCACAATTCTGTACTGCTTCGATTTAGTTGATAAGGCAAGTCTGGTGAGGCTTCTTAATTGCTGAGGCACATTCAATTTTTGTCCAAATTAATGTTTCGTAAGTGAGCTTGTGTACAGGGATTCCCGACAAAGAAAGTGATCGTTTGAGGAGGCCGTGTGATTTGGAGCAGCCTTTTATAAGATTTCCTATGTGTGCAGACTATCTGAGATAATCCATGAGTGTGACTCTGTGGTAATAGACTTGGGGGAGGGCCGTAGAATTCAGAGAATACCGGTAGTCCAAAATTTTTGAATCGCAAGTAACACTTATGTACTTGCACTTAGGAATAAGTGCCTACAAATGCCTAGTTTGGAAAAATGGAGCCTATATTAGCACTATATTGTTACGAGACAATGCCCCACTTAAACAGTGAGATAGGCGCTGAGGAAGACGAGGTGACTTGTGTGTGCGCGCGCTCTCTCTTGTTCGCCATCTTGGCTTGCGCGTTGGCGCTGTGTAAATATATTTTAAAACGCCTAGTTTCCCTTGTGCCTTCACGCAACATTTTGGTGGAAGGTGCTGGGTACAACGCACGACGGAGTTACGCAGCGGACGCCTAGTCTCTGCTCCCAACATGTCCACCGGCAGCGACGCTTCCTCAACTGCTACGCCCACTGCATCAATGGCGCCGACCTCTCCTGTTTATCTCGTGGCCGCTCCACCCCGCGATCCCGGCAACTTTTCGGGAACGGACGGCGAGGACGTGGATGAGTGGCTTAAACTCTACGAACTCTTCAGCACAAATCACAGGTGGGACCCAACCTTAATGCTGGCAAACATCATCTTTTATTTACAAGGAACGGCCAAGGCGTGGTTTAATAACAATGTGGACGGTATCACAAGCTGGGACGTATGCAAGACCAAATTACGCGAGTTGTTTGGTCAATCTGCCGGCTGCAAGCAGGCCGCTAGGAAAGAACTTGGCACACGTGTTCAGACGTCCACGGAGTCCTACCTGGCGTATATTCAAGATGTGCTGACCCTTTGCCGTAAAGTTGACCGAACCATGGCTGAAGCCGACAAGGTAGCGCACGTGCTCAAGGGCATCGCAGACGATGCATTTAACCTCATTGTGTGCAAAGGCTGTTCCACCGTGCAAGATGTTATCTTGGAGTGCCAACAGTTTCAAGAGGCTAAAAGCCGTCGCATTGCTTACCACTTTACGCGCCTTCCCAACACTGCTGCGACGTCAACATGTGCGGATCTCCATGTACCGACCCTGCCCAATTCACACTCCAGTGACATCACGAGAATTGTACGCCGTGAAATCGAAGCCATCTCACCCGCCCCCTTGAGAGCACTGGCACCGAGTGATCCTCAGCCGACCATATCGTTAATACAGACCGTTGTTCGCCAGGAACTAGCCAACGCGGGTGTTCACACAGTCTGTTCTGTGCACCGTCCCGGCGCTGTCAGTTCGTCTACCCCGAGCCACCCACAGCAGTATCGCCGCCCTGCTCCACGTAATCGTGACCCAAATGCGTGGAGAACGCCTGATGACAGGCCGATTTGCTTCCGATGTGAACGAGTGGGACACATTTCCCGTCATTGCCGAAGCACGTGGACCTCACCGTATCGGGCAAACCCAAACTTCTCCAACCCCCATTCACCGGCCCACCTCTATGACCAGGAACCACCACGGCGTGAGGGCTCAGCTAATTACGACCCGACCACTACGACCACTGCCCAGTACAGTCGCTCACCTTCACCTCGACGTAGATTTTCCCGATCTCCACCACCACCTCGTTCCCGTCCCCGTCCTCTGCCCGGCGGTTTTCTTCGGAAAACTAACGGCTGCAGCTCCTGGAGGTGACGCTGCTGATACGACTTGCTCTCCAATTCCTCTGTTGACGCTCCCGACCAATCAGAACTTGATCGACGTTGAAGTGGACGGTTTATCTGTTAAAGCCTTAGTAGACACTGGCGCCCATATTTCTGTGATGAGCCTGCACATTCGAGACCGCTTAAAGAAAGTACTTACTCCAGCCCCTTCACGCAGCGTTCGCGTTGCTGATGGTAGTACGGCTGCTGTTATTGGCGTCTGTACTGCACGCGTTACTATTGCCGGCCGTCAAACTTCAGTTCTCTTCACTGTTCTTTCTCACTGCACCAATGATGTGATCCTCGGTCTTGACTTTTTGTCCACTCATTCCGCTCTCATCGACTGTTCAGCCGGTACTGTGCAACTTGACCTACCGTGTCCGATTGATCCGCCCAGTCGACCGCAAGCCCGTATGTGCTCTGCTGAACATGTCCGTTTGTTACCGCAAACCGTGACCTGCATCACCGTTACGCCCTCGCCACCTGTATCCGATGGTGACTATGTGCTCGCGCCCATCACATCCCTTCTCTTGACCCACAGTGTTACCTTACCACACACTGTTATTCAGTTACGTGCAAACCACGCCTGCATTCCTGTGCTCAACTTTGCTCTGTGTCCGCAAGTGCTTCCGCGCGGAATCGCCCTCGCCATGCTGACTCCTTCTGAAGAATGCGTCATATCAGCTCTGTCTTCGAACGAGGCTCGACACTCCAGCTTCACACATGCTCGATCTTCGCAAGGAAGCCCGTCTCCTGATGTTAAAAAAATGATCGCGTCAGACCTTTTGCCGCATCAAGCTGACGAACTCCTTCGCGTTCTTGAGTCATACTGGGACGTATTTGACTTTTGTGATCGTCCACTAGGTCAAACCAGTGCGGTAAAGCACCGCATTGACACCGGCGATGCCTCCCCTGTCCATCGACGGCCATACCGCGTATCTTCGACCGAGCGTCACATAATTCAAGCAGAAGTCGACAACATGCTCGCCAAAGACATAATTGAACCATCATGTAGTCCATGGGCTTCCCCTGTTGTTCTTGTCAAAAAGAAGGACAACACTTGGCGATTCTGTGTTGACTACCGACATCTGAACAAGATCACTAAAAAAGACGTCTACCCGCTACCGCGCATAGACGACGCCCTAG